TGGGGCACCTATACTCCTTTTTCAGTAAGTGATAAACTCTGGGCTTGTCGGCAAGTAGCATATGAGAACTACTTCTAAACAACAAGTGCCGTGCATGCGGTGAGTAATAAACTTTAAAGAAGTTAGCAAGTAGCATATGCGAACTACCTCTAAATAACAACTGCCGACTTATAGTGACTAGTATGCCCTCTGTGTTTTACTAAAAGCTATTATGTTTTTACAAAAAAATGTATTTGGATTTTTGGTACAGATGATCGTCAGAAAGAGTTGATGATTATGGTTCCCTGCTATGAATTGCTATAAAAAAGTTTGTTATAAACCTTACTCAACATTTTAGTAATACTAGTCTATATTAGAATTATTGTGATTTTTGTTGAGAAAGTTGCTATAAAATTTCAATAATAAACCTATTTGTTACTGCAATAGTTAAGTTAGTTTGTATTAGAGTTGAAAAAAACAAAAAGAAGATTAAAATATACTTTCCATACTATTATAGTTATATTAATCTTATCTTAGTAGTATTAAAGTAGCCAAAGTTTTTCTCTTGCTCTAATACTGATAAAATTAAGTTTACTTAGTCTAGTAGCATTACTTTTTTTTTAAATCTAAAAGCTTATTATCTCTAAATTTGCTTTTTAAGCAAAGTCTTTAGAGATACTGATCTATACTGATCTTTTTTCACTAAGAATATATGAAGAGATAAAAAATATTTTAGATGTTTTAAAAAAAAATTTATTGTATAAAACCATAAGTTGCCAATTAACAATATAGTTTTTTATAGTAAAGGTTACTTTAAAAATTTTTATTTATACTATATAACTTAGTGATTTTTAATCTAATCAAATTGAATATTTGCTATGCTATTATGCTTCTAAGCAGTGCTTTGAAAACATTAAATAGGCTAGGTGCTGTGAAAAAGAATGAAATTAACAAAAAAAGAGATCTTTGAAAAATTAATTTTTATATTATAAATCTTATAATAAATTATAGGAAAATACAAACTTTAAGAAGCTATATTGCAAAATTTTATTAATATATCTACTTTTGTGTCTTAAGTGAAAAATAAATCTAATCTTGTTTTAAATTAATTTATATAAAAAAATATCTTTTGAAAAAATTATCAATTTTATCCCTTTTTGCCCAAATGATCAATATTTGCAAATTAGACCAAACTATAATAAATATATTTTTTTTAAAATTATTATAAACAATTTTATTACTGTAATTTTACAAAAAAAAAATAAAAAATAATTATAAAACTAACAAGAAAATTAGGTTAAGCAGTTTTTGAGCATTTTAAGCAATTTAACATCTCTAATATATATACTATAGTACTGTATACAGTACTATATATAATTAACAATTGGGAGTGAGTTAATAAAAACACACCAAATTTTTTCTAAGTAAATTTTTTTAAAACTTTAAGCAAAAATAACTTAACAATAACTTAATCAAATTTAATAAAATTTTTTTTAAAATAATTCTAATAAATTATAGAAATTATTTAAAAAAAATTTTGTTACCGTATTTTCGCGGAATGAGCGTTATTTCGAATTTTGGCCCGAATTAAGCTTAATTTAGGCCAAAATTCGAAATTACACCCCTGCGCGTTAATACGGTAAGTTATATTTGTTTAAAAAAAGATTTGGTGCGTTTCTATTGACTCACCCCCAATTGTCAAATCTAGGTGAATCTTGACCGCTCTAGTAGGTTTAGATCGCAGATAAATAATTAGTCTGAGCTTTTATTCTTGCATGTAGTTTATATTTATTCATTTGTACAGTATATGAATTGAGTCTTCATTTAGTTTTTCATTACTTATAATTACTCAATAAAATAAAGATATAAGCAAAGCAAAAAAAAAAAAATAGTTAACAATTGGTTTATTTTTATTTATTAAAAATAAATTTGAAAGCAACTCTGCAAAGTTATTAAATATTTTTTGCGAGCAATTTTTATTTTAATGCTAGCCAAAATTAGTTTTAAAGCTGGCAATATCTATACTGTATGCATATCGGCATATCGATATCGATATAACATCGGATATAAACGTTAAAAGTTATCCAACTGCCAAATACGTACGTACGTATATAACTGATCCACATGTAATACCTTGTCCCTATTGTATAAAAAAACTTTCTGACCCAATCTTTTTACGTTCTAAAAAGTCGTTCTATTCTCTTTGAAAACGAAAAAAATGTCGTGGCAAACGTATATTGATGAACAACTCCTTGGAACTGGGAAGATCTCTAAGGCCGGCATTTATGGCCATGATGGTACTTTGTGGGCGGGTTCACCAAATTTCAGTGTAAGTGAACAATATTTAGTTACCGCGAAAAATTATTTTTCTTAGTCAAGTAATGATGAATCAAAAAACTATAACATGCTTATTATTATTTTTATCTTGATATACTAGCCGAAACCTGAAGAAGTCAAAATTATCATTGAGTCTTTTGATAATCCTCAGAAAATTCAAGAAAGTGGAATACATTGCAGTGGAGTCAAATATTTTACCCTTTCTCATAATGACCAAAATCTTCATGGCAAAAAGGTCAAATCAAGGATATTAATCTTTTCTGATTACCTTGTATAATAATCAAATCTCATTTTAATAGGGTACTGCTGGTGTTATTGCCGAGAAAACAAATCAAGCCGTTATTATTGGGACTTATGAAGAAGGCACAGCACCTGGGGAAGCCAATAAAATTATCGGGAGCTTAGGTGATTATTTAAGAAGTGTAAATTATTAGTGAACCTGGCCAATAGTGAAAAAATTGGCTATGGCTTAATTTTCGGTTTAGCCGGTCGATTCTATAATAATTCATGTATAAGCTTTTGATCATTACAAAAAGTAGTTTTTTTTTATATTTATATTTATATTGCAAATAGCAAGTAATAAATTGTTATAATAAACGTCGATGAACCTTAAATAAATTTTGTTCCTGAAGTTAATTATTTCTGGAAAACTTAGGCTGTTCTCAAGCCTTCCTTTATTATTTGTCCGAAAATAGTATCAGATTGGTGCACCATCGTGACTGGATAGAAATTAGATGTAGATTAGATTAATTTTTATGTTAATCGTTATCTTGCTACGTACTTTTACCGCACGTAAAATAAGTAATAACTCTCATTGAAGCAATTATAGGCTAATTTAAATCATTCTAGGTTTAATAATGGAGGCTCAAATTTGGATTTAACGCTGCTACAATAAATCAATTTTTTGTTAATATTAAGAACCTTTCAAATAAAATGGTTTAAGTTAAGGTCCAGTTTTCTTAGTACAACGAATTTTCATGAATTAAACTTGGGTTGCAACAGAAATCTAATATGATTTGGATAGGCACTTGAGTGGATTTAAAATTAAAATTTAATCGATAAAAAAAAGATTGAAATTCTTATTCGTCAAAATCGTTCTAAGAATATTAAAATATTCATTTTTGTCTTGAAATGCATTTGAAAAAGGTCCATTAAATACACAATTGAAACCGCTAAAGAATGTCGGGAATCCTGTATCGAAACTTATTAGAGTCAATTTGCCGGTATATCCTGTCGATAGAATATATGACATACTTTGTGGTTTACATCGAAGAGTTTAAAGACAAATTTAATATCGATATATAAATGTTTTTATCGTCAATCCAATTGTGGCAAAAAATCAATCGTCACTAACGCTACGTAATACAGTAATAATTATTTTAATTTCAATTAAATTGATCAATTAGTTTTTTTAAGATATATATATATCGATATTGATTGATTAAACATTAAAAAAGCATGATTTACAGGTTTCACTCATATAAGACGTGACAAATTGTTAACTCTCCTCGTCCTAAAAAAATTACGACTTCTCTCATTTTTTTGTTAACTTTGTAACTTGATATTTTTATTATTACATAGTTTTAAAACATATCTCTATCGGACAGAGTTGGCAATGGATTATTTCCCGTAAAAATAATTCATCAATGGATATTAATGGATCAATGGATATAATGGATCAATGGGTATTAATGGATCAATGGGTATTAATGGATCAATGGGTATACAGTATGTCCATTAACCCATTGATCCATAATACAGTAATAAAATCTGATCAAGATTTGGTTTCTGGACCAAAATCCTGATAAACAGAATCTTGATAGGGTCAGAATCCCGAAAAAGTCAGCCGGGAGACTTAAACCCACTTGTATGTATGTTCTATATAGGCTATTGTCCATTAGTTCATAATTTTTTCAATAGTTAATTTTTTGGAGCAATGGACAATTTGCCAACCCAGAGATATTCAACCAACATATACGTATTACAAGTTTGATTACGATTGATCGTGTAACCGATCTCCTATATTTGGGACAGTTTCCATATTGATAACGATAAGACTTTTATATCTAGATGTCAGAATTCGACTTTAACGAACATTCGCATCGTCGCTATAACCCATTAACAAATTCTTGGGTCTTATGCTCTCCACATCGAACCAAACGACCTTGGCAGGGTCAACAGGAAACAGCTGATAATGAATCGTTACCTAGTTATGATCCGAGCTGCTATCTTTGCCCAGGAAATAGACGTGCACAAGGAGATACGAACCCTGAGTACCAGAACACGTTCGTCTTCACTAATGACTTTGCCGCCGTAAAAAGTGATCAACCTCAATTTCTTCATAAATCTGACGGTTCGTTCTCTAATTTAAAGCGGTAACATTGTTTCTCTGTTTTTTATTTTATTTTTTTTTACCTTATATTCATTTATTTTTTTATTTTATTTTATTTTATATTTTTTTGTTCAGACAAATTCACTTCCTTACTAATGGCCGAAGGTGTCAGAGGAGAATGTAAAGTTATGTGCTTTTCCCCAAAACATAATATCACCGTTGCTGAAATGTCAAAAGATGCCATCATTCCCGTGATTAAAGCTTGGATAGAAGTTTATCGAAATTCTTTTTCTATACCTTATATTAATCACGTACAAATTTTTGAGAACAAGGGCGCAATAATGGGATGTTCTAATCCTCATCCCCATTGCCAAATTTGGTGTACCGAATTAATTCCTGAAGAGCCTACCAAAGAAATTATTTCCATGACAAAATATTATGAAAAAAATAATTCTTGTCTTTTATGCGATTATGTTCTATTAGAAACGTTAAAGTTAAAAGACAAACCAAGAATAGTGTGTGAAAATGATTCGTTTGTATGCGTGACACCGTTCTGGGCGATATGGCCTTATGAGACCATGATAATTGCAAAATCTCATATAACAAGTTTGATTGAATTGGATGGAGAAAAACAACTAAGTGATCTTGCGGACATTATTCGTAGGATTACATGTAGATATGATAATGTATTTAAATGCTCTTTTCCTTACTCTATGGGAATTCATCAGGCACCTATTGATGAAAAGGATCATTCACATGATTCGCATTTGCATTTACATTTTTATCCTCCGTTATTGAGAAGTTCAACTGTTAAAAAATTTTTGGTTGGGTAAGTCATTTTATTTTATTTATTTTTTTAGGTAATTAACGTCTCTTTACAGAATTTTGTTTTCGGGAAATCACCACTAAATATTAATTAAATATTAGATATGAAATGCTCGCTGAACCACAGCGTGATCTCACACCTGAACAAGCGGCTGATACTTTGCGCAAATGCTCTGAAATCCATTATAAACAAGAAAAATAAACAATAATTATTTTATAAAGAACCACAAATAATTTTGGTTATACATTGTCGCAGATCATAATGAAATCGGATTAAAATGAAACTGGTGACCTTTCTTGCTCATCTTTAAAGCTTATAAAACCCACTTATACTCTTTTATTAATAAAACTAACTCTAAACCCTAACCCTAAAAATGACCCCAAAAAAATTTTAAATTTTCCTAAAAAACATTTTAATCCGATTTCATTTTAATCTGCCACATATGTCCATTAACTGACATGAAATATTATTCGTAAATTAGAACTTGAAATTAATAGTAAAAACTCATTTCTTAATTTACTAAGGCTCACGCATTTATTTCAACTTTTGTCACTGAGATAATATGCTCATATTCTTACAAAATCACAAGTCAGAAAGTCCTTTTAATAGATAAATTATTTAATCAAATACTTAAATTTCTTAAATTTACATTTTTAAATTACTTATTCCTATCACTTTTATGTTTGAAATAAATAACAATCATTTTCCATATACATTAAGATCCATTGTTGGTGGCATCCAACGATGAGGATGAGTAAATGTCGGGATTTGTGGCTGCATTTGAGGTGCCATGACATTGTTATTTTGTTTTTTAGTTTTGGACTTCATAATGGCACCCGGTGGTCCACCTAGTTTTGATGCTGAATTGTCTCGTATTGGTGGTGACTTTGGTCGTAAATTTTCAATTTCTGGGGAAAAATTATTGCAAGTTAGAGCGATTACATAAAATAAAACTTTTAATATGTATATAATAATAATTACCAGTTGTTGAAGCAAGTAAATGCCCACTAGGCTCATTGAAATATGACGCATACGTAGTTGCATCGAAATTCGAACTTGATAAACCAGTTCCGATAGTTAACCAACCTGGTCGAATATTATGGTCCTGCAAATAGCATTAATGGTGATTAAATTTTTCTAGGACGAAATTCTGAGTACAAAATTTACCTCTCCAAATAATTCAAGTCTTCTGCGCCCTAGACAAAAATGTTCTATAATGTGATATAATTCTTCGGGTTTAGCTGTGCCTACTTTAAAAAAAAAAGGGAAACGACAAGTGATTATGTGTAAACCATGTAGGCATCGTATAAAACGATAATAAAGCTTTGATCACAAACTCCCGAAAGTTGGTTCTTCGGATATAATAACATCTGTATCCACGTTGCAATGAATAAAATGTCCATCTGTGCTGCGTCGAACTGTACCCCTGATGCCCATTATACAGTGTTCTTTCGTGTGTTGGAAAACAGATCTAGGTTCAATGAAACGACTTCCCTAATTATTGTTATTGTGATAGATGTTTCAAAAATATTCTAGTCTAATGAATTGTTAAGAATCGCTAATAAAATTTAATTACTTTACCTCCCATTTCTTGTTTGTTTTAATCCATACAATATCCTCACATCTGCGATATCCCCATTTGAGGAGTAATTGTCGACCACGGTCAAGTCCCTCTGAATCTCCAGACCAAATGAAAATAAATGAAGGATTTGCCGCTACGTCTTCAATTTTAAGATTGGCGTATGATAAGAGTTAAGTTATAATAAAAATAAAAGTATAGTAAAACAAACAACTATCAAAATAAGGATATTATTTCATCGTAACTCCAATAATCAGGATTTGTGCCTGCGATCAATGGTGATTTTCTACAGTATCTAAAATTGTCAAATTGAAGTTCTGTCAAGCAAATAAAGACAAATCCGATCAAAAATACATATATAGCAAAGAAAAAAAAGAAAAGATATCAACTCTTCCAAAGGTGGATCAATCAAAATAACATCGAATTTAACTCCAAGAGATTTAAGATCAAATGTTCGAAGATCAGCTTTTAAATAAGTTGCTGGTGTTGCCATATTTGCTACCAAAGTGTCCTTCATTTTTGTCAATTCTTTGAGTTTAGGATATCTAGACACAAAACATTCCCCAAGCTATATTATAAAATAATGTAACATATTTTTGTTCTTTAATAGATATAGGTACGATTTGTGACTTACTCATCGAAACGTTGAGATAGTTCAGTATCACGAATGAAATTTTGAGGGCGACGTCCAGAATCAACAAAATATTGACAATAATCATTTCTAATAGTTTTTTCACCTTCTTGACCCGATGCCTGTTGTTCTCCCTGTTGTTGTTGTTGACTTTCTACCTTATTTACAGAAGTATTAACTTGCAAAGTAACTGGGAGTGAAACTTTAGGCATTAAAGTGAATTCTGCTGAATGTTTGCGTTTATTGTCTGTTTCAGTTTTTTGTGTATGTTTAGTGTTTGAAAGCGATGTATCTATATTCGAATCAAATGCATTATTATGCGAATTCTGTCCTAGTTCTCTAGCTTTTATATTATTTGAGAAAATTTTCTTAAATTCTTCAACAGAGTTTAATTGCAACTTGCGGCGTTTTTGACGTTCACGGAGTACTGCAGTGAGCCGATTATGTGACTCCTTGAAAGATTGAATTTGTTCTTCGACGCTCATAATTTCGCATTAACGTTAATTGAATTTGCAATTCAATATTAGACATATATATAACATCGATATGTTTGACAATCATTTAAAGTTTTATGCAGATTATGCGTTATTATATAAAAATTATCAGTTAGCATTATAGTACAAAAAAAAAAAAAAATTGTTTCTCCATCTCGCCCACTTAGTCGTTCACTATACTCACTGTATATAATCAAAGGACCATTTATTCAGTCATCGCAAAGACTATAAACATTTCTTTTAGATTACAGGAGTACTAAAGTAATTTTTTTAATCATGAACGATTTGGACGAGATCCTGGATTTTGAGGAGACAGTAGATTTTAATTTATCCGATAATCCTGAAGCCCTTGACGTTGAAATATTAGATGAGGATGGTTTATTTAACCTTGGTGATGACATAGGCCTTGAAAATAGTAAACAACCAGATGAAGGTAAGTCTTTTAAAGAATTTCAACATGCACTGATGATGGCGACATGGTGACATCTAACCTTCTTTCAAATAAGGACCCATTTCGTTAGAGGACACCAAACATGGTGATAATAACAAGACTCAGAACAGCGAACAACTTATAAAGCTAGATAATAACTCATCAAGTGGCACAACACAACCACAAATAGAGCACTCAGAGGAGGTTACTGAATTTAACTTGGATGACCCTGACTTCCTTAAAGATTACGAAGATACAAATGGTGGAATAGATAATGAAGTGAACATTGACGAAGAATTTTGGAAAGGATTAGATGTGGATCCAACTGATACTTCGGACAAAGAAGGCAATAAATATTCCGATTTATCCGAGAAACTTGGAACAAACAATTCTATATCAACATCACCTTCAAAAGAAAACACACTAAGATCTTCATCAGATATTGATGTTACTAATGACGGTAAAAAATCAAATGTATCTAATAGTGGGAAATCTGTGACAAGGAAATCGAAATCACCTGAAAAAGAAGACGGTGAGATTATCAATCAAGCATCTTCTACTGATAATAATCGACAAGCTCAACAACAAAAGCAAACACAATCGCAACAACAATCTCCAGCGCAAAAGCAAGCACAGCAGCAACGAGCGTCACAACATACGCAACAATCAAACCATCATCCTCAACAAAATACTCTGAATTATAGGGGACGAGGTGGCAGAAGAAATAATGATTGGAACCAAGGAAACGTCGGTGAATTTTTTAACGGAGGCATGTCAGCTTTTCGGTCGGGATATGGACCGGGCTTAGACGGAATGTCAGGGTACTTTTCAAATTACTTTATTTATAATTAGACTCTCTTTGCATGAGGAAATTATTCCTTTGTCAAAATTTTTATTAATTTAATTTAATTTAAAGAATTCCGATTGGACAAATGTCAATGGGTAATTCATCTATGATTCCGAATTTATCTAATATGCCTGGTAGGGTATTTGGAATTATCATTGTTTATGACTTCCAAACAAATCATTCATTTCATTTTTATTTTATATTTTGTTGAGAGGCGCATTTTATCATTTTTTTAAAAATATATCTCGTAGAAACTTACCAAATAATGACTTAATCACCGTTTTTCTTCAACCGGGTCATGTAAGGTCCAATGATTGGTCCTAATATTCATGTAAATCCGAATTTTGCCAGATTACGGCCGCATGCACTGCCATTTGTAAATCCCATGACACAATATCACATGGGCGCTGGTGGACATCCGATGAACATGATGCCGTTTCAAGGACAGATGGAAATGCCACCTTATCTAATGGGCGGACGCGGAAACAATGCATTCATCCCGAGAGGCGTTAATCCTGTTTTTGGTCATCACAATAATCCAATGTCATCACGTAAACCTGCAAATCAACAGTCAAATGCGCAGAGAACAACTCAGGCAATTCCTCCCAAACGCAAGGCACCAAATGATGGATTCGATCAAAAAGAGCAAGATAACAAAAAAACCGTTGCTACGAATGGTAAATCTCAAGCTTCTGAAACCAAATCCACTACATCTCCTTCACAGAAAAATGTTGATCGAACCAAAACGTCTTTAACGACCACTACCGCGAAGAATTCATCAAATTCTATACCAGAGAAACCGTCCAAACTTGGTATCTCATCACCTAATACAAATAAAGCTCCTGCCACAAAACTTAAACGACGTACAGACACATTACCTTCTGAGTCCACATCGACTTCAAAATCTACGCAAGATTCCAAGTCAACTATAAAATCAGTACCAAAAAATACACCCAATTCTTTATCTGAAGTTGTTCCTTCAAAATCCTCTACGACAAATGCTAGCGGCCCGATGACAAGTAGTTCAAACAAGTTGACAATTGATAATATCGATGACCGTGTGAATAAACGAGAGCTTCAGACCTTGGCTGGTGGCGTCCCAGGTGGATTTACGGTGCGTCTCGTTTAATAAAATAAATTTATCTACACGATTAAATTTATATTTATGTGAAAAGCTCACTAAATTCTCGCTTTTAATAGTTGGTTACGGTGGATCGTGTAGCTCGCTCGGCAGAAATTACTTTTAAGACAGTTGAAGGCGCAAAGATGTTTAGGCGAAAATACAATAGGTTTGGTTTGCTTTTACTCTTCTCGAACGCATCGTTTCAAAAATCTACGTAGTCTTATATGCTTTGTCTGTTATAATAGGAGTGTCCTTGGCAAATCTAATATCATCATCAATTTCTCTTAATCAATGTTAATTTTGACGATGATTATTATGGCAATTTTGTAATTTCTTTTATTATTATTACTTCTTTTTCTTTTCCTTTCTTTTTGTTTTGTTCTCTTTTGTAGGTGCTCCCAAATGAATCATGATGGATTTTGCAATTGGAGGGTTATATGTATCTTTTTTTTCTTTTCCATCAAATTTTAGTAAATTATGATTATAACGAGAAATTATTAGTAAAAGGACTTTCTAGATTCGAAGTTTTATTAATTTTGGTTGTAATTTGTCTTTGTAGAGAATAGAAATGAAATTTAAAATTTATTATTATTATTATTATTATGGATTGGCATTTGATGACATTATTAATCATCTTTTGACGTCCAAAATTTCAACAAAGATTTGCAATAGTCGAATTTACCTGATTTTTACGAACACAAATTTTTTGTGCAGCAAGCATGCATTTGTATATAGAGCATAATTTGCATATTATTTAATGAATCCATTCCGCAAAGTAACGAAATGTTACTAGTATTTAAGTATTTATTAATTTTTGTACATTATTTAATAAAATTGAATTGCAATTTATTGCGTATTCATCATAAATTTAAAATGCTTAGGTGCTTTGATGAGTTATTCTGTATACATTATAATACTATAGATAATCTTAACAAGTTTTATTATTAAAATGAGATGATTATAGTGGGATTTTCGTGTTTTGTTTTTTTTTTATTTGGTGATACACTGATTTTATTTGCAGTGTTAACGTTAAAGTTAATTTAACATGTTTTAATAATTCAATTTAGCCTAACAGAAATTTAATTATTTTAAATAATGCTATAATTTCATGAATTTTATAATTTATCGACATAGCGATGCATTGCTACCCACGGGTCTATGTATAAATCTGAAAGTCAAAATCCCGAAATTTAATTGTCGCATCGTGTGATGTTGGGGTTCTAATATTGCATTAGTATCGGTAATCATTATTACTAATAAGCGGGTTTTGAATAGCCGCCTATGGGAAATCTATCATAATGATAGACGGCTAACTGAACACAAAATATAATTGAAAGTTAGAGCCCGATATCACAAGACGCGACAATTAAATTTCGGGATTTGACTTTCGGATTCATACACAGACCCGAGAGTAGTGATACATCGCTATGGCGGTAAATTACAAAGCCCTAATTTGAATATGAAAATTTAAAATTTTTTAAAATGTATTTTTTAGGTTTAATTTATTAGAAAATGCTATAGTACTATCTTATATATATGTAATTATATAATTAGTATAAAAACATTTCATTTTTACAAAATAAATTTTTTTTTTTGTTAAAGTTTAATATTTGTAACAAAATTCTAGTAGAAATATATATATATATATATATATATGAGGATTAAATTGTTTAAAATTTTGTAGATATTGTTAAATATAATAAAGTAAAATGCAATATTGGCAACCAGATATCCAAGCTGAATTATTAAAAATCTATATAAACTTTGAATGTACTATAGAATAGATGGGCAAACCCTGGACATTTAGGATATAGGTCATATATAAACTTTTTAGCAAAACTCTCTAAATTTGAAAAACAAAAAAAAAACAGTTTTTTGTAAATATTTCAGCAACTAGTAGTCCAATTTGAATGAACTTTTTTTAAATAAAAGCTCTCAGTGAGGCGCATCTTTTAAAAAAAAGTTCATTCAATTCTGATTACTGGATCCTGAGATAGTTAGAAAAATGTAAATTTCTAGTTTTTAGCAAATTAAACCAAATTGGCCAAAATTCAACCAGGATACTAGATAGGCAATATAAAAAATATACTCTGCTAATAATTAGTAATCATTAATAAATATTTAAATATTTAGCAGAGTTGTGGAGGTTGCAAAGTTTGCTCACCTATTCTATAAAACATTTTAAACTTTAAATATTTAAGCAAAAAATCTATATATCTAAAGCAAAAACATATGGGAGGCTGCTAGTAGAAACCAAGCAAATTATTTTTAACTAGGAACTGGAAACCAGTAAAAGTCCGGAGTATGAAAGTGTGTATAGCTGTCACAGGTCGAAATAAGACAAATCGGGTTCAAATCAGCATTACAAAATCCTGATATGAACCCGATTTTAAACAGATATTTGGCGCAAATATGAGACCTATAGAATTCAGATTAATATCAGCATACAAGACATATCAGCAAAATGATAGCCAATAGGTAAATCGATAGAGCTATAGGATAAGCTCTATCGATTTATTGATTAAGCTATCGTTTTGCTGATATGTCTTGTATGCCGATATTAATCCGAATTGTATTCTATAGGTCTCATA